AGAAAAGCAGCTTCAAATGTTCCCAGGCTGGCACCCAGCAAAAAGTGAAGCTGCGTGACGGGGTTCACACGAGCAGCCGAATATTTTGGAGGAATAAATTAGCAGCTTGGCTCTTTGGTGTGATGCCAGGACTTCTGGGAAGTAATCCAGCACCTTAGAAAGACAAGATTTGGATGTCACATTGGATCCACTCTAATCTGAGGTTAATTGAATTGAAAAATCTCCTGCCTTACCCCCCAAAAAGAAACCTACAGTAGGGGATAATAAACTGCATGTAAGCAAGGAAATATAGCATGTATTGGTGCTTTATGATAATCTGGCTAAGGTAAATTCGCAGCAAATATTACCCTAGTACACCTTGGCGCCCACATCACTGTGTCTTCACTGAGTATTTTTACTGTTTGTGGCTGAATTGTAATGAATGTCTCAGAAGAAGATGCTGTGCAGAAACAGATGGAGGGCAGAGAATGAGTCGCTGTCTGGTAAGTGGGGTCTGTGGAAGTGACCCAGGCGTCGATGATGTCTGAGCCCTCATCATGTCCCGGATTTCACATTGTAATAATGACTAATGTGTTTGCCAACGTCAGCTCGCTCTCATTAGTGTGATTTATAGCCTTGCCAGTTTTCAGTAAACTAGAGGAGCTGTATTCCAATTTATTCAGGTCAGATTAACCATTCATATTTAAATGCAGTAACGTTTCCTGCCCCCCTTCTTCTTCACTGAATGTTCTGTACACCCAATGCAAATGTTTATTGTCTAATCTCACCGGTCGTCATTAGGCAGGTTATGTAAGAATCTCTCTGTGCAGGGCAAAAGTTGAGCCTGAATCAATCTTCTAATGGTTAATAGCTAATGGGCCGATTTATTGCCGTGCTGCAAAGGCGAAGGCTCGCCCTTTCCTCTGAGCGCGACGAGGACCCCATGGAGCCCCTCAGCCTTTGTTCCAGTGTCACTGTCACGTCCAGAGTTGTTGTTATACTGAATAACTAGCGAGTAATCAATTACAGATGAATTATTTTATTTTGCTTGAGGTTGTTTATCAGGGATGGTGCACAGTCGCTGACATCATTACAGCAAGATTTAGATGGACATGGTTCAGTCAGCAGACACTGAGCAGGCTGATGGAAGTTAAAACAGAAAATATCACGAAAACACATGGAGCATACAGTATAGTAAAACTGTGGATAGAAATCATACAGGAGTTTAGGTGATCATTGCTTCAGTAAATGAGAATAAAGGACAAAGAAATTCAAAGGACGACAGAGTGTAATCATTAGTAAATGGTACAAGGAAGCACAGGAAACAAATCACTATAGCAAATTACTTATGGTAGCTGTATTATTGGATTTTTTTTTTTTTAAATAAAAGTGAGGAAGTTTGTTATTTTATCTGATGGATTAACCAAAAGCAGACATTCCCACCTGGGTATTTTATTTGTCAACACTGTATCAGACCATGTAATCATGCCATATAAAATTACAAAGATAACTGGTGGAGGATTTGATCCATATTGTACACTCCTACCTCAGATATTAAAAGTGCTGACTTCAGTTAATGTTCACTTATGTAATTACCTTTTGGCCTCTATTTCTGGGGGCCTGTGTGTGTGTGTAAAGGCTTACAGATGGAAACGCCCTCAGGTTACAGGCAGCACTTGATCCTGACTGGCATTGCTTCATCTCAGATGTTTTACTGTACCTTCTGACTGCTCTGCCTGTTAATTTTACAAGCAGGTTTAATTATGACTTTGGTAAATAATCTGTCATTTTCTTTAATGCAAATCTTTTGGCAGTGGCTTTAACACGTAACCGGGGCTAATTTGAGCCTAACCACTTCAGGCAGGCTGCGTCCCAAATGGCCTTCAGGATTAACCAGCGAGAGGCCTGTGTAACAGTGTGATAGACGGCACTCCTCACTCGGGTCTTGATTACTCCTCTGTTCTAATTTGATTGGCTCTGCTTTAACAATGTCTGGCCAGATCTGGTCTTGACCAAACACTGGTTTGTACTGGTGTGTTCAGAAATGTGATGGTGGGTTTTGAGGCTGTTTGACTTGAGGAGATGGGCTGCGGTTTACTCAGTTTTATTTAAGAATACATCACAGGAAACAAGGATGGATGCAGAGACAGATCGGAGGATGTGACCTGCTGGTTTTGGCGGGTCCTGCTGTCTTCAGTATCTGAACTGTCTGGTGGGAAGAGGAGTGCCTCCCTGAAAGTCAGTGGCTGCCAAACAGCATCAAAACAGAAGGAGGAGCTCAATGAAAGGGGAAAGATGAAGAGGAGAGACAACAAAAGGAGCAACAGGGAAACAGCCAGTTTAGCAGCTGCAGTTTATCCTGTGGAGGTTTGAAAGGACTTCTGCCTTTCCTCCACCCTTTCCTCTGATATTCAGAATCCAATTAGTGGGCATGTTGGAGGGGGGTTCCTCAGTAGCCCATCTGTAAGAACTGTCATCAGTGAGGAACACTGACAGTGGTATTATTTTATCAAAGTCTGGCCTGTCTGACGGTATTCAGCAAATAATGTCCCTTTCTTCAGTCCTGACAAACTTTCCTTGTGTTAAAATTTGGAGACAGAGAAAAAGATGAAATAAAATACAGTGTCTATGACAGTGATGGATAATTATCATGTGTGCAGTCATGGTGTTTTGGTCAAGAAGAATAATTTAACTGCATGTGCCTGCAAAGTGAGTCAGTTTGATAACAAAGCACGAAGCACATGTCAGACTATTTATTACAATGGAGGAACATGTCAGTACAGCTACATGCTTGTTGTGTGCTTCTAATAGTTCTTTGGCAACACTGCCTGGTTTTAATGGCAGCGCCGATGATACAGAGATGAAATAACAGGCACTATATCCTTCAGTTTGTGGTGTAATGATTTAAAAAGTCAATATTGTAAAAACAAACTTATCAGTGACATTTGTAATATTTTTTTGAGACAGTGTGCATGAGTGACAGAGCGGGAGCGTTAGCCTCCACACTGCTGAGTAATGTCTGTTTGGCTTGTTTTTGGTGTCTTATTTTTCACATTTGGTGTCTTATGTTGTGTGTGCACTGAAGGTGGACAACAGCGTATTTGGAACCGTTCGTGACCAGTTGGTTTGTTCCATGTGGCTCTTTTTCAAGACTCCCTTCGATCAAGATGGCATTAAATGCAAATGAATTTTAGCAAGATGCGGATGGCTAAACACAGGGAGATGATTGATGGTATTGGACAGATGCCTTTCTACATATGAGATAGACAGAAACACAGTGGGCTTTGATCCAAGCAAAAGAAAATGAGATTGAATAAACTTCTCCATCTAACAGCTGGTGACACTACTTCTCCAGTTGAGAACCATTAAACTGTTGCGGCAGAAGCAAGTGCAACAAGATGGTCTAATGAAGACGGTGCTAGTTAAACCTCAAGGGCGGCGTGGAGGTGCAGTGATTAGCGCTGTCTCCTCCCAGCAAGAAGGTTCTGGTTTTGAGCCCCAGCCAACCCAGGGCCGTTCGGTGTGGAGTCTGCATGTTCTCCCTGTGCCTGCGTGGGTTCCCTCCAGTTACTCCGGCTTTCTCCCACAGTCCAAAGACATGCAGCTTAGGTTGATTGAAGACTTTAAATTGCCCATAGGAGCAAGTGTGGTTGTCAGTCTCTAAGTGTCTGTGATAGCCCCCCATTGACCCTCTTCAGGATAAGTGGTAAAGATAACGGATGGATAGTAAAACCTTGACCAGTAGAAACAAATTATTGAAGACATAATGGTGTTTTTGTTTGACATTTTTCCAAACATTGTGTTTTATATTGGTGCTACATGAATGAATCATGTTGATTATTATAGTGATGATTTATTTAGACCTGAAAGGTTCAGTGCTTTAACCAGCTGCAGGAGCGATGGTCTTCTTTCATAGTGTTTCTCAGATGACAGTGTTTCAACTTTGGAAACACAGTGACAGCAGACAGAAAGACGCATGGGCTTGAGTCCTGCTCCAATTTTTTTTTATTTTTTTTTATTGACCTGTCAGGGCGAACTTGACGTTTGAGCAGAAAGATTTACAGGCTCCATTTAGGGCATGATTGATTTCTGTCTGAGGCAGCTCTGAGGAGAGATTGGAGAAAATGTGTATGTAAAACCCTTTCTTTGATTGATTGATGCTTTCTGTCAATGCTCAGTTTGCCCTTTCTTTCTTTTTCTCTATATTGTATCACCTTCCAATGTATTTGCTGCTGTAGCACAAGCAACTGGCCGTTTTGCTGACATGTATTGTGCCATTGCAGCTTGAAAGACGTGAAATCAATCTGAGCTCTGGCATGACTTTCATATGTTGTGCCAACACCTCTGACTCTCCACAAGTGTTACAAATAAACAATTTAAATATTGCGTTGTGTGATTTAGTCACTGACAATAAACTGAACAGATTATTGGATACAGCAGTGTCTGTGATTCCTGCATAGGGCATTATAAAATTTATCTACTGAAATGTTGAGCATCATCTCAGTCTTAGAGGAACTGCTGTTTTTAGCCAAAAGGCTTTATGACCGCACATGTTAGGAGGCGCTGATTTAATTCCTTTTTCATTCCACACAGTTGGACGCTTTCTCTTTAGGGGAACATTCTGTCTAATGACTGCGGCAAAGATATAAAACAAAGATCAGTGAGTGCAGAAAAGTAAGTGAAAACATAAAGTTTTTCCCAGTATGGCTGAACGTGTGTTGTGGTGTAGAGGCCTAAAGGGAAGCGTTTCAGAGCGGAGCATGTGGCACTGGCAGATGTCGTGTTTGACAGTGACGCTATTGGTTAACTTTCTTTTGATGTTTTTTTAATATGAGGTCATGTTATTCAGGTTTTGCCATTTGTGGACAACTTGCTGAAGCAGTGCTCTTTCATGCCAGCAGGACCTAATTTACCTGATGTGTGCGCACAGTGATAAGAAGCTGTTGTAGTCTTTGGTGGTAATGGTGCTGGTATTGTATTGGCCCTTCTAAACATTGCAGTCTCTGTCTTTCTGTCTGCAGAGCACCTGAAGGTGGCACTAGAGGAGTACATGGCGCGGTTGCCAAAAGTTCGCATCTTGAGGACTAAGAAGAGGGAGGGGCTGATCAGGACGCGCCTGCTGGGAGCTGACGCCGCTAAAGGAGAAGTCATCACCTTCCTGGACTCCCACTGTGAGTCCAACGTCAACTGGCTGCCTCCGCTGCTGGGTGAGGACACCAGACACCTGAACTCAACATTTCCCCCTAACATGACCCCATGAACCTTAGTCTAACTTACCCAACGCTTTGAGCATGTGATGAGCAGATAAACATTAAATTGAAAATCACTGTACCTCAAGTGGGAACTTTACACAAAATTTTGAGTTTTGCCAAGTCAGCACCAGTGTTTCTGAACTTGGAAGTCAGGACAATAAGTCTCTGGGGTCACAAGTTGATGAACAGGATATTAGAAGAAGAAATATAAGCATTTTTCCCTACTTCAACTTGAGAAATACTGGAGATTTTCTCTACCAATTCATCTGCCTCTCTGTGTCTCTCAGATCGAATCGCCCAGAACAGGAAGACCATTGTGTGCCCGATGATCGACGTGATCGATCATGACAACTTTGGTTATGAGACACAGGCAGGGGACGCCATGCGAGGGGCGTTTGACTGGGAAATGTACTACAAACGAATCCCCATCCCTTCGGAGCTGCAGAAGGATGACCCCAGTGAACCCTTTGAGTGAGTGCAGTCATTTTTGACACAGTTGACATTTGCTGGAGAATTGCGTCCTGATTATCTCATTGTGCCATGAGTGAGTGCATCTTTGGCATGAGTGGCCCCAGGAGGTGATGATTTGCTGAAGTGTCATCTGAGTGTATATGCTCTTTGTCAGTACTGCCCCTGCTTCCACATTCATGAACACGTTTACACTTTAGAGCTACACAAGGACAGTCAAGAAGGGCTAATAGTCACTATAGCATGAGACCATGTCCACATCTGAAAAAGAATCCATTCCATTGCACTGAGGCCTGCTGTCCACACAAGGCTGAAGGCTGTTACATCCAGAAACTGAGCTTTTCAAAAACACTTTGCAGAGTGGATAAATGTCAAACAGTTGGACTTGTGTTTTCGGTGCAAACAGAAACAGGAACCTTTTTCAGGCACGGTTTGAAGCTGAGTCGCACTGAAGTTTTGTTTCCTTGATCAAAAATGATGTGACATTCAGCTTATAGACCAGATTCTTAACACATTCCCACATTCTGATGCTCTGGATTTATTTTCCATGGCAAATGCAAAACTACAAAAACACAACCCATCTATATTTTTTAGGTACATGTGTACAATGATTGAACAGGAAAAATAAAAATTCTGCAACAAGGGTGTCATCATTATGCATACTAAAAAAAAAATGCTGTCCCATACAGCTACATTCAGCAGCAGATGCTTCAGTCCAGACATTATTTTAATGATCAGTTTGAGCACAGAGGGGATAGACACTGAATCATCTGCACTGTTTGTGCTGACACCAGCCTGATGTCTACAGATGGCTGCTAGCTGGCGTTAGCTCCTCA